GGTGCCACCACAGAAAGCTCTTGCTGCTCGTGGAGTGCCCAGGCTGGCCTACCAACTGCACCAGAAAACCAGAAGGTAAAGGCTTTTTTTCCTGTGGGAAAGGGCTGTTGTTGGCTTTTCAGAGCCCTGTGCTGAAATTGCCAGTCCGACTCCCAAAATTGAACTCGGATGAAGATTCCTCTCAGAAAAAAGGTGCCACCACAGAAAGCTCTTACTGCCCATGGCGTGCCCAGTCTGGCCCACCAATTGCACCTGAAACCCAAAGGTTGCAGGCTTTTTTTCCTGAGGGAAAGGGCTCTTGTTTGCTTTTTTCAGCCTCGCGCAGAAATTGCCAGTCCGACTGTGGTGGTTTCAAGCTTGGCACCCTGCTAAGTCCCCAACACCACAGCAAAAGCTTCCCCCACAAGGGAAAAGAAAAAAAAAATACCAAGAGAACTGAAATAAGAGGACTAAAGCAATATATATATTGCCCCTCCTTCTGCACTGACCTTGGGGTCTACATTGCTGTTCCGGTGTTCTCACTCCACTCTTCCCTGGCTGGAATTCTCTCTGTGCCACAACGTTCTGTTCCTAAATATGTTATCCCAGAGGCGTTACTGTCACTCCTGATGGGCTGACCCTTGGCCAGTGGCAGGAAGCCCCTCCTGGAGCCGGCTGGCATTGGCTCCATGGGACAGGGGAAGCTTCTGGCAGCTTCTCACAGAAGCCACCCCTGTAGCTCCCCCGCTACCAAACCCCAGCCACAGAATCCACTACACCCCTGATCTGGTACCTTTTGGGTTTCATCTCATTCATCCCTTTCGCCTTTTCTTCTTTCCCAGTAGGGCCACAAGCTAAAAGCAAAATATTCCCTTCCAACCCAAAGCATTCCATGATTCTCAAAGCCAAAATTGCCCCTTCGTAGCAGCATTAAAAGCCCTCTGATGGGGTTTTATTGCTCTGTTGCTGTGCTGGGCACAAATCAAACATCTCTCTGTCCCTCAGATTTGATCTGCTGTGTCTCTCAAGCACAGCAGGAGGACATTTCTGACATATCCCCACTCCATGACCCAGTTTTGAGTGGAGAAAGAGGAAATTTGGGTCACTTGTTAAAAGCATCACTGGTAGGAGGGGCTAGAAGAAGGACCAGCACAACACTCAGGGTTGTTTTTTCATAGAATTGTGGAATTGTTTGCATTGGAAGGGACCTTAAAGCTCATCCCATTTGCAGGGACACCTCCCACTGTCCCAGGTTGCTGCAAGCCCAGTCCTTGGACACTTCCAGGGATGGGGAGGCCATGACCTCAGGGAGCCACAAGCCTGGGAGCTGATATTTGGTAACTGAGCCATTTTAAACAACTCTGGAGCCGCTTCCACTTAGCAAGAGAGGCAAAATAAGCAGAGAAAAATGATCTTTTCCAAATCCCTTGAAGCAGAACCCCCTTCCCCAGGAGCAGAGGGAGGTGGTCGAACGTGTGGAGTGGAGAGTTAATTGTCACTCCTTAATTAGCTCTGCCACCGCCAGTGGGAGCCGGGCCAGGAGTCGGGAAAACAACCGGGCGAGTGTTTTATGTTCACACCCCACCTCGGAGTGCAGAGCCCGCTGTAAAATAGGCAGGAATGCCGCTGCCTGGAAACCCGCTCGGCATTCCTGCGTCCCTCCTTCCCAAAGACACCTTTCTCCGGGTAATTGTTCCAAACCCGCTCCGTGTCCAGGGAAATCACGGCTTTTAGGGTCTTTTTTTTTTAGCACTGGGGTTTGAATAGTGGGGGAAGGTAGTTCTTGGCTTTGTTTAGTTCCCTTAAATCCCCCCTTCCCTGGAACTGCCCAGGGGCTTCTTTTCCCCCTTTTTGCTTCTCTGAAGCTCAATTCAATAAATACACATCCGGCTCCTTGGGAGCTTAATGAAATTGTGGGAGGCACTTCCAAGAGCAGGATGTTTATTTTTCTCTGCTGCTGCAGGTCCTGCGTGCCCGGAGAGCTCCATAAAGAGCCCCTTGTGCCTGAGCAGGAACGCTGGGGCAGCCGGGAAGTGCTGCACTCACTCAACACCGGGCTCCTCTTACTGCACAGCCGGCTGCCTTTCCAGGGAATTTAGGAAAACGAGCCCAGTGTTAAGGTGGGAAAGTCAGGCACTTGCAAGGCAGATACAGCCTGGAGAGCTGGGTTAATCCACCTGTTTATGGGAGCATATTATGGAGCAGGCTCCTATTTTCCCCTAGTCCTTGCTGCTCAGGTCATGGAGGTTTCTACCTTCTAACAGAACCCCCCACCTTTGAAACCTGCTCTCTCCAGAAATGTCCAACACCAGGGAGCTCCCAGTGCCTGCTCCTGGCTGGATGCAGCAGCTGGGGCATTCCCAAAGGAATGTCCTCTGAAGGAATGGGGAGGTGCAGGTGCTGCCAGGGGGGAGCAGAGGAGCCTTTCAGCCCTGCTGAGCCTTTGGGCATCAGCTCTGCTTTCTGGCCTCATTAGTCATTGCTGGTGACACCAAACTGGGCCTCAGTGAGACAGCAGTCCCAAGTCTCCGGGAGCTGCACCCCTGGGTATGGGGCTGGACTACGTGGAATGTCTTGGTGGGTGGGAATGGATGATCCTTGAAGGCCCCTTCCAGCCCAAATCATTCCATGATTCCTATGAAATCTTCACTGTTTGATGGGTGGGAATGGATGATCCTTAAAGGTCCCTTCCAGCCCAAACCATTCTATGATTCCTGTGAAATCTTCACTGTTTCCTCTCTCTGTGTTTCAGGAGAGAAACACTGGTTTGGGACCCTGAGGTGCAGTGAGGATGGATGGATTCAGAAAATTTGCAAAGATGCAGAAAATTTGGATGCATTCCAACGCCAGGGGTTCATGGTGAGTCCTGTTCCTTTTGGGTCTGGCACTGAACATTCCCAGAATAAACCGCTTTCCTTGCCTGAGAGACCTCCAGCCACCAGGCAGAGGATGTGTCACGGCAGCAATAAAGTGTTGGGAAATCAGGTCTCTCCTGGCCTGTAATTCCCATTCTGGAAGGGATTTTCCAAAGCATCAGATTAAAACCAACTCATCTGTTTAGTTCTTTCATTTTGGCCTTCCCAGTCGCAATTCCAAAGCTTCTACTGGAAACCCTCGGTGTGTTTTGGAATGGGAGCTGAGTGCCTTTTCCAACACCTCTGGCTCTGCTTTCCAGGACATGGGGGTAGGAAATCTCCTTCTTCCCACTGAGGAGGGGGAATGGGGTCTCAGAGAGCGTTGGTGTTGCCTTGGATTTGACATTTTTTCTCAGGAGCTTCCATGTTCAAGGTGCTCAGCTACGGGGAAGGATGAAGTGGGATGAAGTGGCCTCATGGGAAGAGTGAGGGACATGGAATCACAGAGTATCCTGAGTTGGAAAGAACCCACAAGGATCATCCAACTGCTGTGTATGTTGGAAACGGGCTTTTCTCCTCCCCAGCTCTTTCTTTTTTCTCCCTCTTGCTTTTCCTCAAGTTTTCTTCTGACAATCCCACACAGGTGCTGAAAGAAGTTCTCCAAAGGGCAAAAACAAAGTGTGGGGGGGGAACCCTTTCCAGTTTTGTTTTCCCATCCAAATCTGAATATTTTCTGAGGAAGGGAACAAAAAATTACTAAAAATACAAATAAACCCCTTTTGTCTGCAAATCCCCTGGTGGGAGTGGGGGAGGTTGGACTGAAGCATTCCTGGGTGACTCATTCCTGGGCGGTTTTTTGCCCTGGATGGAAAGCTGTCCTCAGCAAATTAGATGTTCTTTTCTAACGTGCCTGCAGGGAGGTGTTTGGTTTGTTGACTGAGGCAAAGGAGGTGCCTGTTTCTCTTTTGGTATTCCCAGGTCTGCCATCAGAGGAAGGCTCCAGGTGGCGGTTTCTCTGGGAAAGCGGTGATAAAAACTCCATGGGTGTTTTCCTGCCCTGCCTCAAGCTGGAGATGGTGCCTCAAACTGTCAGTTGGTGATACCCCAGAGGAGAAAATCCCTTCAACCACGCGTGATCCATGAGCTGGGGACCCGTGGCCAAGGTCCAGGCTGAATCCTCTCCCGTGATGGAGAGAGATATGGAGAGACTGGAGTGCTGGATTTGGGTTCTTCATGCTCCAGGGTAGAATAGAGGGGAGGAGGAAGGATTTCTAAAGCCAGAGCCTTTCGTGGCCTCCACAGAAATAAATGATGGGAAAAGAATGGGAAAGAAACATGGAACCCTGCACTCTCTGAGGTGATCCCATGGAACCCTGCTCTCTCTGAGGTGATCCCATGGAACCCTGCTCCCTCGGGTGTTCCCATGGAACCCTGCTCTCTCTCAGCTGATCCCATGGAACCTTGCTCCCTCGGGTGATCCCAAGGAACCCTGCTCTCTCTCAAGTGATTCCATAATCTTCCTGGGAGATATGAAAGGGATGTGTAGGCCAACCATTGTCCTGTCTCCTTCTCAATTGGCATCCAATGGTCAAGGCTTAACATACCACCCAGGAAGAATCCAAGGATCAGAGGTGTGTGACCCGCCCCTGTTTGGGCACAGGCAGTAGGAAATACTCGGGGATTTTGGCCATTTTTCCACAAAACATGGTGAAGCCACCGTAAACTTTCCTTTGGGACCATGTTGGGGCTGGCATCCCCCATCCATGACCATCCATGACCATCCAGATCCAGGCTCCTGGTTTTATTGCCCCCGAGGGTGGAGGGGCACTGAACAGGTCACGGCCCCAAGGCTGCCTGAGCTCAAGGAATGTTTGGGCAACACTCTCAGGGACAGGGTGGGATTGCTGGGATGTCCTGGGCAGGGCCAGGAGTCGGACTGGATGGCCCTTATGGGTCCCTCGGAGCTCAGGACATTCCATGATTCTACAATTCCATGACCTGTGTTTCTCCCGGCGGTTCCTGGGGTGTTACGGTGTAATCTCCACTCCACAGTCTCGTGGTCAGGATTGAAGGAGCAAAGACCTGGACACCTGCTGGAAGGTTAAAACTCCTCAGTCCTGCCTTTTTTTCCTCCAGACACTCCTGTTTAGGCCCATCAAGGCACATTTGCAGCGTAGTTAACTCCCTGCACTGCAAGGAACCTTCCTGTTGTCATCTCCGTGGTTACAGCCCTGAAGACAGGCCTCGATGCTGCAATTAAATCCTCCTCCCGTCTCTCATCCCTGTTTTCCTCTTAATGTGTGTCCTCATGTCCACCACACAAATTCCCCAGAAAACCCCATAGCTGTGCTAAAAACGGGAGATGAAGGATTTTCCCCCCCTCCCTCTTTCCCCCCAGATGTATTTATCACCAGGGCAACTTCACTTCAGAGTTCACTAAAAATCCAAGCCCCTGGCTTAGATCCAGGGAGGGAGAAGTTTTATGGACTGAGCTAAGTGTGAATTACAGTTCTGGTCACGGCATTTTTTTTCCCCCCTTCCTTCCTTTCTTTCTTCCTTTCCCGTGACTGGGACTCTGTCACAGCTTTTTTTTTCTGCTGCCTGGCAGGTCTGGGAGGAACCTTGAGGGATTTAGAAGGTGTTGGTGCCTCTGGAAAAGAGTAGTGGGGGGGGACTAACCACTGGTTTTAGCACCGGGTGTAAATAATTGTCCTTTTCAATCACTTGGCAGTGAGACTCCCAAGATGTCCTTGTTTATCCAGGAACTAGGGAGAAGAAGCCACATTTCCTTCTCAGTCTGGCACTAAATGCAACCACTGCCTTCATTTTAGGGAGTAAAAGCCATGGATGAACAGGAGTTCACCCCTCAGCCATGTTCCAGTGTGGCACGGGAGATGGGAAGGGACGAGGGCTGTGGAGCCAGGAGCAGGGAGCAGGGAATATGTCCAGGTGCTGTGGGGAAGGGACTGTCTGGCGGTGCCTCGGAGGATGGGCTGGATCCTCTCTGGGCTCAGGGGTGCCAGGTGGGATCCAGCAGCCTGGTGGTAGGAGCGGGCTGGGAGAACTCCTTGTTTTGTCTGGAGAATGAGGAGCACTATTGGGAGAGGGTGGGAAGTGGGAGGATGTGTCTGCTTAGGAAGGGCAGCGGGGAAGGTGAGGGAAGGTGGAGGGGTGGTTGAGGGCTCCTCTGGAGCATCAGGAGGAGTCCTTTTTTTCTCCTCTCCCTCTCCTCTCCCTCTCCTCTCCCTCTCCTCTCTCTCTCCTATCCTTCTCCTCTCCCTCTCCTCTCCGAACCTCTCCGAACCTCTCTGAACCTCCCCTCTCTTTTCTTCCTTCCTTCCTTCCCTCCTTCCTTCCTTCCTTCCCTCCTTCCTTCCCTCCTTCCTTCCTTCCCTCCTTCCTTCCCTCCTTCCTTCCTTCCTTCCTTCCCTCTTTCCCTCCTTCCCTCCTCTTCCTTTCCTCCTTTTTCTCTTCCTTTCCTCCTTTCCTTGTTTCTTTTTATCACTTCAGGGTTTGGAAGTGGAGGAAAGGTCCTGCCTGAAGGGCAAGTCAGTGTGTGTTGGCTGTGCTGGATAAGTGGCTAATTTTAGATCCTGGAAGCCTCCTCCTCCTCCTCCTGGAGGCTCCAATTTCCAGGCGGGGTGGGATCAGCCCAAAAGGCCACCCATGGACAACACGCTGCTGGAATGGAGGGAAGGGGGGACACGGTGAGCCCACCTTCCCCGGTTGCTTCTCCCTTCTGGGGGTGGGAGTGGCAAGGGAGGGATTCTGGAAGCAATGTCCTTCAGGACAGGGAGCCAGCAGGACCCAGTTCCTCTGGATCCACTGTCTGGTGGCACTGGGGGACGTCAAACAAGCAGCAGCTCCCTTTGGAAACGGTCCATGCACCTCCCCACTGTCCCAGTTCCAGGAAGCACTGGCTGATTATTATGATGATGATGATGATGATGATGATGGAATAACTCAGGCTGAAGGGAACCTCAGGAGGTCATCTAGTCTAACCTCCTGGAGTACAGGCTGTGCCCTCAGCTTGGGAGAGATGGATCTGGAGGGAGCAGTGAGGTGTGCTGGACAAAATGATTTCTCCAGACTTGGAAAAAGCAATTCCAAGGTCTTGGCCAAGTGTTGACCTGTTTGCAAAAGTTCTGCCTTCTCATCTTGGCCAGGAGATTGGCAGTTTAGTGTATTTCTCCATGGGATTTCTCCTAAACACCCATGGAATTCCAGAGCTGGAGGCTGAGACAGCACAGTCACTCCTTTCCCATCACCCCGGTACAAGAACTCATGAGGACAACTTGGGATGGGCTGATTTTCATGGGAATTTAATGGGGGAAAAAAAGAGAGGGAAAAAAAGCCTGGCTCAGGAGATAAACTGCTGGAAAATACAGTGGGATATGGTATATAAGAACCTTCTGCCTGCATTGCAGTATGTCTGCAAGAACATAAATACTAATAAACATGGGGATGAGAGAGGAGACAGTGGTTGAACAGAGGCATTTGCTGTAGAACTGAAGGAACCTCAAACCATGAGTGATCCCAACTTCGTCTGTCCTGTTTATCCATCACTTTATTCCTCTCTGGGGCTCTGCTTTGTCCACAGGGACAACAACCATAATGCAAGTAAACACTGCTGTGTCCTCTGCTCCCCTTTCTTCCCTGTCCACACTTTCCCTGTGGGAGAAGAGTCAGCTCAGAAGGAAATAAAAAGCCCATGGACAAACATGCGTTTTCCTCTGGATGAGCCCCCCGTTGCTGGGCACACTTAGCAGAGGGAGGAGCTCATTAAATCCATTCTCATTAAATCTATTTCCATTAAACCTATTCCCATTAAATCTGTCAGGGATGCAGGAATTGGAAAGCTGCTCTAGTCTGTCTTGTGCTGTCAGAGCGACATGGGATGTGCGTGGCAGCTGGAGTGGACGTGGAGGGGGAGAGAGCTGTAAAGCTGGAAACCAAGGAAGGAATTCCCGGCCTTAGTTTTGCCTCATCTAACGGCATAAGGGCTGCAGGCAGGGGAAGGTGGTTTCTGAAATTCCCGTCCATCCCACTCCCCTTTTGATGTTCCAGCGGGCAAAGGGAATGGGTTCGAACCACCCCCAGCATTCCCCGCTGGCACCGGGCACTCAAGCCCGGGCACTCAGCACCGAGGGCGTGTTTTAAACGCTCAGTGCCAGGGCAATAAGGAGGA